TCAGTATTGAATACTACTCCTCTAGAAGAACAGCCAATGTTCTTAACCACTGAGCCATCTATCCAGCCCCTCCACCCAAATTATTTTTTAACTGATAAGCAACAATCTGTTACTCAAAGATTCCTTGGGTCCTCAGTGTTATGGGTTACTTAAAGTGAACTCATGACCATTGGCCATAAAGGCTTCTGATAGGATTGGTTGTACTCAAGTCTTCCCTCACAGCACTCTGTCCAGAGCTAGGGTGAGGTTTGATATGATCCAAGCTCGCTACAAAGTGGAAGCAATCAAGTGGACAGCTGAAATTCAAAAGTCCCACTGCTCCACAAATCCTATCTGATTCCAAGACTAGTTTAGGAGCTTGGAGCTCTGAGGTCTTGAAAACATCAAATTTGGTCGCTTTTGGGTCTCAGCATGGTTGGCCTTATACTAGGCTCCAAAAAACATCCCAGTGCTAATATTCCAACTCTGTTCTCCAATGGATTGCCAAGCTCCTCATTTTGTTCCAGGTTAATGAGCAAGATGGCATTAGAAGAGGCACTGGAAAACATCACCTGCCTGATATACCTGGTTCCAGAATGTGGGCATAAGGTATCCACGGCCAGCAATGATATTAAGGTTTTGCTGAACATTGATTCATTATTTCCTAATGCCTGGACTGAATTCTTTATACCCCAAACCAAACTGGTAGGTGCCTCTGTCAGTGGGGCCCTTAGAGCTGTAGGAGAGGAGAAAGTGTGTTTCTTTATTCCTGAACTCTTTAATTCCCTTTTGCATCTTGCTACACTGAAAGCACCCCCTACGTGCTTTCTCTTACTTGCTTGAAGCTAGTTTGATGTGTAAATGTATATTAAACTTGACTTGGGAAGGGGAGAGGATCCATAATGGAGAATTTCACTGGGCTGTCCTATGATTCCTTTACTAGAAAGACCAGTAAATATAGTAACAGCTATGAGATAAACTCAGATAATCTGGGACTGAGATCAGAAGATCACTTTGACTCCAAAAGTGTGAGAAACTTGAACAACACAGGAAATCTTGTAAAAAAAAAACACACAAAACAAAACTAGAAAGAAAGTAATTTTATATTCCCAATATAGTTTGTTACTATACTTGTACGTTAGTACTTACAGTGTTTCCATGTGGCTAGCATATGCTAAAATTAATCCCCATAATGATATAGAAATTAAATTTCATGAGAATCATGAAATTAGAGCTGTTTCATTGGAATGTTGTTTCCTGACAGTAACAAAATTCTCTTGAGAAAGATTTAAGAAAAATTTTCCCACAAACTAAATTTGACTTTAATGCTTGGTCCTATTAAAATTAAACTTTTTATACGAACCCTCTTAAGAAAAAATTAGGCTATAGGTCTTAATTTCTTTGTATTAAGTGTTTTATTTTGGTTATTTTTCAATACCTCTATTATGATTGTTGTCTCTAAAATGAGAAAGAAAATATAACCATGTATAAAAATCAATATTTATTTACAAAATGATTTCTAAATCATTCAAAACCAAAGAAAGATATAAGGAAAAAGTTTAAATAGGATTGGAAATGCCTCATTTGGCTGGGGCAGGCACCTAGCTGGTCTGACCCATAAAGACACCATATCCTGAACCATTCTAGAGGAATCACTGCACTCAGAGCAGCAGGATTTCAGGATCCCAAAGGCAGCCTGAATCCCAGCAGCTGTTCAACCCAGGAGCTCAGGCTCGCAGGATCACAGAGATAGCTAGACTCTGAGGAGTTCTGACACAAACAGGATAACTGCCAGGCTTCAGTCAGAGACAGTGAGTGCAGGTAGCACTAGAGATAACCAGATGGTGAAATGCAAGTGCAAGAACATAAACAACAGAAACCAAAGTTACCTGGCATCATTAGATCCCAGTTCTCCCACAATAGCAAGTCTTGGACACTCCATCATACTGGAAAAACAGGATTCAGATTTAAAATAATTTCTCATGATGATGATAGAGGACTTTAAGAAGGACATAAATAACTCCCTTAAAGAAATACAGAAGAATACACGTAAACAGAAGTCCTTAAAGAGTAAACACAAAAGTCCCTTAAAGAGTTGCAAGAAAACACAACCAAACAGGAGAAATAGTTTTTAAAATACCATCCAAGATCTAAAAATGGAAGTAGAAACAATAAAGAAATCTCAAAGAGAGACTACCCTGAAGATAGAAAACATAGGAAAGAAATCAGGAGTCATAGACGCAACATCACCAACAGAATACAAGTGATAGAAGGGAGAATCTCGTGTGCAGAAGATACCATGGAAAACATTGAACCAACTGTCAAAGAAAATGCAAAATGCAAAAAGTTCCTAACCCAAAACATCCAGGAAATCCAGGACACAATGAAAAGACCAAACCTAAGGATAATAGGTATAGATGAGAGAGAAGATTCCTCACTTAAATGGCCAGTAAGTATCTTCAACAAAGTTATAGAATTGGTAATGTAGCTCAGTTAGTCATTAGCTTTCCCAGCATGCTTGTTATCATGGGTACATTTCCACCCAGCCTGCCAGGAAATTCAATCCCAATATTTAAGAGATGACACCAGGGCGACCAAAGCTTCAAAGTCAACCTCCTTCTGCTATGTAGCAAGATCTGGGCAAACCTGAGCTCTCTTTCACTCTCGCTCTCGCTCTCGCTCACGCTCTTGCTCACGCTCTCGCTCTCGCTCTCGCGCTCTCTCTCTCTCTCTCACACACACACAAAATACAATACACAACTAAACCTAAAAGTATTACTTTCTTTGTATTCTATTTTATTTTGATTTCATTTTTAAAATGGTCTCTCATCATGTCCGTGACTTGATGGTCTTGAATTTGAGACAATTCTGATTACACCATATATGTTTTAGGAATATAAGCAGTATACACCAACATGTACACCATCCTAAGTTCTTATTTGTTCTATTTCACATATAAAAGAAATATATGTTTATTAGTAAACTCAGGTTAACACTATATTTATGTTAACTTTTTCTAACAAAACACAAATTAATTTATCAACATCCAATGGATATTTAGGGTTTATTTTACATGGGTACAGAAAATAGAGGTATTATAAATGTAATCAAACATATATCAAAATTGCTTCCTTCTGTTAATCGGATACAGTTACATTTTCTCTTATATTCTTGTCATTTCTTGGCATTTTATGAATGTTACTAATTTCTCTTGGGAATGTAGGTAAAATACAAACTGGAGTTAGGAAGGGAGATTCCCTCTCTCTGAGAGTTTCTTAATTCTCTGCAGGCCTTTGTGTGGGATTGAGGCCTCCCACGCTTTTCCTCATTCACATTGGCATGGCTATTGGTGTTTTCCTTGCTCAGCTCCTGTTTACACAGTTATGGGGTGACACTTTATGGGCACAGCTTCTGGCATTACTAGGAGACATAGTCTTTCAGGAAATTCCTTGTTTCTCTGATTTTTACACTCCTTTTGCCCTACTCCCTTTCTGGAATATTCCTTCACAGTTAGGTGTGAAAATTATTTTGGAGATGTATTCATTGGGACTGATTTTTACAACTCTGAATTTTGATGGGATCTAGGTTTTTTCTAATAATCTCCATCTCTCGCAAAGAGAGGTATTATTGACTAAATGTGAGGACTACATTTGCCTGTGGGCACAATAACACATTTTTAAATTGTAATTAGGGACCATAGTTATTTAGCAAAGAGGTGGTTAAAAGTTCTCCTTCAAGCTCCATGACTTCTGAAGAGTGGGCTGAGTTTCTTGTATCAGGCTTGATTTTCTTCCTGTGGAACAGACCTTAAGTCCATCTAAAGTGTTATTGGTTACCACTAATGTTTTCATGTCAAATAATGTAACATGCTATCTGTTACTATATTTCATAGTCCAGGTAGGACTGGTGGTTGCTTTACTCCTACAGAAATCTGAATGGTATCTTTAGGTACCATGCAAGCTAGTCCTCAGAGAGGAGGCATTCAGGTCAGTGCCAGCTCAGTGACTTCTGGCCCTTGTGTTTCAAGGGCATGATATTTATAGTAATAAAAATAATCTTCCCTAGGGAAGAGAACACCAATTTGTTGTACCAAATCAAATGGTCAGCCATGAAAACATATTTGTTCAATTAATATTATATAGACTAAGAAAGCTTTATGTATGCACTTAGGAATATATATAAAGCTTATGAACAAGGAACAGGTTTGAAAGAGAGTAAGATTGTTGTGAGTGTTTCAGAGGAGGAACAGGAAGAGTGGATGATATAATTATATTATAATTTTAAACAATAAGTAATTTTTAAGAGAAGGAATAAATAGAAAGGAAATTCACACTTTGTTCAGGTCAAATAAATAAACAAGGAAAGAAAAAAAAGACCTGTCTGTACCCACATACTTCTTCAGCAGTCTGCTAGGAAATATTCACTTTTTATCTTCTTGGATTCTCATACAGTATCAAATGACAGACATTACTAGCCCTACTTCTTTGTCTGTGACTTTAGTTAATCCCTGTCAACAGTGGGGTTGGACAGTTCCTGATCCAGCTATGCACTCATGGGCTACAATGGAAAGGTAAATGAGCTGGAAAACTTGTTAAGGTCCTTGGCACATTGTACCAATTCTAACAAAGCACTAGGGAGCTAATGGTTGTTACTAAACTATTGTGCTTTTGACTTTCCCTTAAGGACCTCCAGTCAGCTTGACACAGGAATGGATGACCTGTTCTTATTCTATACTCTCACAAATGGCAACTGCCTGTAACCCCCATTCAGAATGGTATATCAGTTGATGGGCAGAAACATGTTTTTGCTATAAAAAGTCAAGGAACCTCTGTGTGTAATTTAATTCATTTTAAATTATTTTATTTTGTTGACTCTATTTCATCTTCCTAATTATCTACTGGGTTCTTTTGTTGTGAAACTAAAACAAAACCATTTAGATATATGTATCAAAATTCAGCTGTCTAGAACTCACAAACTAATATGTAGCTAGGTTGCCTTAGACTCTGCTTTTAAAAACATATCCTACATCTAGAAGCTTTTCAGGTATGGTTGCTGTGTCACATGTGCTTCTGAAGGTGGCAGAGAAGAGAGGGGCTATGTCTATGCTCAGTAATTTGATTTGTCTGAATGATTAATAGCCTAACACTCCCTGAAAAAACCAAGGATGAGACAACCACCATACTGGATCCATGGAGCCTGGTCATGGAGCTAGTCTCAGATGACCACCAGTCCAGCTTCTCACAGGCTAAGACAGGCTCCTAGAACAAGGGAGAAGCTGCAGACTAGAACCATGATCTGGACCTTGGGTACCCTAGGGACTAGTGAGTGCAAGACAGTGGCCTCATATGAGGCCACATGGTTACGTCAGTGGAGCAGTGTACCTGAGATGACCACCAGGCCAGTACCATGGAGACTGGACAGGGAACTAGCCTGAGATGAACACCAGGCTGGCATCATAATACATGAGTAGGGCATAGCACTCCTGAGACCACTCCTGAGAAGAATCCAGACACTCAGAGACCCTGGGCACCACTAAAATGATCAAGCAAGTCGTGGAGAAATGGACAAGAAAGAGAAACAGAAGGATGTGGGCACAGTGAAGAGAGGCAGAGCTGGAAAGTGGAGGGCAGTAATGAACAGGCTAAAGTGAGTAGCTGGTGATGCCACCTGGGACCATGGTGGGGTGCTGGCATGTGCTGCCACTGGGGGCTAAGTATGGATATGTGACCCTGCAGCATCAGGGGTCTGTTACCAGCAAAGGCCAAGTGGACAGTCCTTGGCCTTGGCTATAACCTGAGGACATGTTGCTATCTAAGGGCTATGAAGAACTGGCCCAAGCCCTCACCTGTGCATCATGGAAGATTTGGTCCTGAAGGCATGAGACTAAGCGAGTTACCCACTCTAACCCACAAGCAGTACACAGGAGAGCAAGCCCCAAGAATATGAGTGGATTACCTGTCCTTACTACCCATCTCCTCTCTCGCCATACAACTCCTCTGTCCTGTGATAAAAAGAGTAATAGAGAAATATCCACACACACCCACCCCACACACACATACACATTGTGCCCCTTGTCACCTACCAAAGTCAGGAGAGTTGGCCCGAGGTCATCAGAGGGAGAGCTGCTCCTGCCTCTCACCTGCTACAGCTCTCAGGAGAATATTTCCTGTACCTCTCCTGGGCGGCACAGTAGAGCTCTGGATGTGGTTGTCTATGGTGAGCAGCCCAAGTCATGAAAGTCAGATAGCCAGTGATGTGACCAGCTCAGGTACCTCTCAGACTCAGATCAAGGGCTTTAAAAAAAAAAACCAAAAACCAAAAAACCCAGCTTTATTAGCACAGGTCACTTTTACTAGGAAGTTATTGATCTGATCAAATGTTGACATTTTGGAAAATTTGTATGATACTGTAGGGGAAAGCGAATGACATTTTGTGACATGATGCTTTTCATGGAAGTGTAATTTTTGTGTTAGTGCATAAGATTATCACTCAATTGAGAATTCATATTTTAATGTTCATGAGTAAATTTAGTTTTATTACTCAAATTAAAATTTATGTTTTAATGCTCATTAATCCTCTCTCTCTCTCTCTTTCTCCCTCTCTCTTTCTCTTTCAGTCTCCTTATGACATTTAATTGGGGCAGGCAGGCACACGAGAACATCCAGGCAGTCATGGTGCAGGAGGAGCTAAGCGTTCTACATCTTCAGCTGAAGGATGCTAGCAGAACACTGGGTTCTAGAAAGCTAGGATGAGGTTCTTTAAGCCCAAACCCATGGTGACACACCTATCCCAACACGGCCACACATACTCCAACAGGGCCACATCTTCTTTCTTTTTTTTACTTGAACTAATTTATTTATTTTATTTATTTACATTTCAGATATTATTCACTTTCTCCATTCTCTCCCTTAACACCCTATCACATCCCTCCTCCTCCTTTTTGCTTATATGCCATTTAAATTACATGCAAGTGTTAAGGTCAGTTCTATGTCGAGGAACTACCAATACAATAAATGTAAATTGTCAAGGAACAAGCAAGACAATAAAGAGAATACCATGATCACTCCTGTGATCACTATTTCTAAGGGCTTATCAGGATGACCAAGATATCTGAGCCTACTTCCCTGTCCAAGCCCAAAGTCATTTTCATGCCCGAAGCCTACTTCTTTGTTCTAGCTTAAGATTTATATTTCTGCCTATGATTACTTATTGTTCTAGCCTAAGATTTAGATTCCTGCCTGAAATTTCTTCTTTATTTTAGCCTAGGTTGGTATTTTTGCTCTCCCCGTGGGGCTGCCAGCCCCTTCAGCTCCTTCAGTCTACTTTCTAACTCCTTAATGAGGACTCTGTGATGAGTTCAATGATTAGCTGCCAGCATTTGCCTCTATTTATGTCAGGCACTAGGAGAGCCTTTCAGGAAACAGGTATGTCAGACTCCTGTAAGCATGCACTCCTTGGCATCCACAACAGTGTCTATATTTGGTATGTACATGGGATGAATCCCCATGTGGGGCCATTTCCAGACAGTCCCTCCTCCAGTCTCTGCTCCACACTTTGTCTCTGTACTTGCTCCCTTGAGTATTTTGTTACACCTTCTAAGAAGGACCAAAGCACCCATATATTGGTCATCCTTCTTGAGATTCTATGAACATAGTAGAGCATGTGTCCTTGTTATATGTTGAAGCATTTTTTGGGTATATGCCTAGGAGTGGTACAGCTGGGTCCTCAGGTAATACTATATTCAATTTTCTGAAGAACCGCCAGATTGCTTTCCATAGTGGTTGTACCAGCTTGCAATCCCACCAAAAATGGGAAAGTGTTCCTCTTTCTCCACATCTTTGCCAGCATCTCCTATTACCTGAGTTTTTGATCTTAGCCATTCTGACTAGTGTGTGATGGACTCTCAGGGTTGTTTTGATTTTCATTTCCCTGATGAAAAAGGAGGTTGAACACTTCTTTAGGTGCTTTTCAACCATTTGAGTTTCTTCGGTTGAGAAAGCTTTGTTTAGCTCTGTACCCTATTTTTAAATCAGGTTCTTTGATTATCAGGAGTCTAATTTCTTCAGTTCTTTGTATACATTGAAAATTAGCCCTCTAACAGATGTAGGATTTGTAAAGATTGTTTCCCAATATGTTGGTTACCACTTTGTCCTATTGGCTGTTTTTTTCTTTACAGAAGCTTTATAATTTTATGAGGTCCCATTTGTCAATTCTTGATCTTAGAGCATAAGCCATTGTTGTTCTTTTCAGAAACTTTTTCACTGTACCCATGTGTTGGAAGCTTTCCCCCATTTTGTCTTTTATTAGTTTCAGTGTATCTGGTTTTATGCAGAGGTCCTTGATTCACTTGGACTCGAGCATTAAACAAGGAGATAAGAATGAATCAATTTGCATTCTTCTACATGCTGACCTCCAGTTGAACCTGCACCGTTTGTTGAAAATGTTGTCTTTTTCCACCATATGGTTTTAGCTGCTTTGTCAAAGATCAAGTGACCATAGGTGTGTGGGTTCATTTCTGGATCTTCAATTCTATTCTATTCCACATGCCTATCTATGTACCAATACCATGCAGTTTTTTCACTATTGCTCTGTAGTACAGCTTGAGATCAGGGATGGTAATTCCCCCTGAAGTTCTTTTATGGTTGAGAATAGTTTTTGCTGTCCTGGGTTTTTTTTGTTATTCCAAATGAATTTGCAAATTACTCTTTCTAACTCTATGAGGAATTTAGTTGGAAATTTGATGGGGATTTCACTGAATCTACAGATTGCTTTTGACAAGATGGCCATTTTTGCTAGATCATCGGAGATCTTTCCATCTTCAGAGTTCTTCTTCGTTTTCTTTCTTCAGAAACTTGAAATTCTTGTCATACAGATCTTTCACTTGCTTGGTTAGATTCACACCAAGATATTTTATATTATTTGTGATGATTGTGAAGGTTGTCATTTCCCTAACTTTTTTCTCAGCCTATTTATCCTTTCAGTAGAGGAAGGCTACTGATTTGTTTGTGTTAATTTTATATTCAGCCACTTTGCTGAAGTTGTTTATCAGGTTTAGGAGTTCTCTGGTGGAAGTTTGGGGGTCACTTAAGTATACTAT